CCCCTTTCCACCTCCCTTCATCTAATGCCTAAAGTGACACTAAGTTCATCTTCTGAGGACTCTGCTTCGGTAATAAATAAATACCTCCAAGGCGAGTCGAAAAGGTCCAAAAGTCAAGCAGGCTTGACTAAAGATTCAGAGAATCATCTCGCTGGGCTTACTGATATCCAAGCTATGGCACAAGACCCAATAGCTGCGCTTTTTGTGCGCACCAATCTGGCGCGACGGATTGCTTGGCTTCTAAGTGCCTCAAGTACCGTAATCTACGCCCCAGCAATCACAAAAGCCCGGAGCTCCTCCACACTTTGGCTCAATTCGCTTGCTGCGGGTGTTTGGTTACCTGGTCTTCTTTGTACCGCTGCTAGACATTCTCCACAGCTTGCCAACAGAGTGAGATCTCTCTTCATCCCTTTCCCTAAATTTCTACTATTCCTCCTGTTTCCGCTTTTTAAATTTCTTCCTTACTTTGATGTCATATAAAAACATACCTGTGAGAAATGATAAATATATTTACAGTTTTTTCCCATCAAAATACATATGAATATTCTTATTCTATTCTCAAGTTGATAATGTGTAGATTCTATGAATCTTTGAATTTGATTTCATTGAGACTGCATTAAACTTCATTTTATAATTTAAATGCGTTTAAATTGGTCTCTTTTGCTGTGTATTGTGATCTGGTTGGCTAATATCTTGTACATACAAGCTATTAAGTCTGCTTTGTTTTGTAAACCCAACGTATATTTGAGGACTGTGAGTATCGATTATAACGAATCCATTTATTTCCATCACAATTGTTTAACTTTTATCATATCCTACCCAGTTGATATGGGGACTTGTTTTCATTAAATCATTTGGCATACTATATGTTTGTGATTCCTGTATGGTTACAACTTGATAGCTACGTTTTATTAACTTTTCATCAGATCTGCTCAACTCCTGGTCTCTTGCAAGCTATTCAAACCGCCTACCTGCCATCGTTGGAAAATTTACCTTCACAAATTCAATCAGATGGAAAAGCAGCAATGCGACCAAAGCGTCTGACTGCCTCTTACAGCGTACCGATGCCAGGGATAATCTGCTTTCTTCGCTTGCTCGCACAATCAAGTTCGAACATCGCGCGAACCCTTGTACGTCATTCTGACTTATTAATTCTTATTTAGTAAACATAAATGTTCATATGTATGATATCATTCTTATTTTTACTATATATACCCAACACAAATTAAACGATGTCATGTTCCTACAATCATGTCTTATCTGGCTTCATTAAGGTTTTGATTGTCTATTCATATTTCATTTTATTCCATGCAGATCTAGCCACTAAAACTGGTGAACTGCGATCTTTTGCATGAATACGAAAGATGATGTAATATAAATTTTCATGTTAATGGAGTAAATGGTGATTTCGTCATACTAGAGTCCTTGCAATATGTTGGCTTGTCTGTTAGTTCTGTCAGCCATGCATGAAAACTGAGTTTTCTGTAAGGACTTTAATGTTTAATAAAATTCCATGATGAAGAAATTCGTTGGTCGATCTCACCAGAAGATAACAGCTGATTGTCGTTGTACTGCAGTCTTTTGGCTTTCATACGATATTCAGGTTGATGCAGTCCACAACCTCCATCGTTTCGGGCTAAAGTTTGCAGGTCTTTAGATTTTCTCAGTGTTTTGAAAACTGCCATTATTAAGGAAAATTTTCGAGGTACTTACATACACCTTTTTTCATTGTAGCAATATATTATTCCGGTGCACGAATGTTGACATTTATACATGCTTTTCTCAATGACTTATTTGAAATCGTCGGTGCGAAGGCATTTCTATGGCAAGTGAAACCAAGTACTGTTGAGTTATCATATTATTTCCAACATGATTTCTCGTCTCTTATAGCTCTGTTAAATACGCATTCCCAAATTTTCTAGCTAGCTCTGTGCCTATTATATAGCTCACAAGAATCAAAGAGAACTCGATACTAGTCAGCTAGAGTCGGCATTTTTACCATCTGGCTCCCAAGTCGGGCCAGTTGCTCGTCTTGCCGAGGTCCGGAATACCCTTGGTTTGTCCCTATACTAATGAAGTTTTAACTTGTTGTTCCTTCTTCCATTCTCTTGCGCACCGGATTATTTTACTACACGCCATTAAGCACTTCCTTGGTCCTTTTACCTAATGAGTTTTAGACGATCTCTTGGCCCGTCCAGGCTACGTGTTTTGCTGCTTCAGGTATATTCGTGTTCATGACTGCAGGTGCCATCCTTAGTACAGAGATACAACTTATCAGTGACAAGTCAAGACAATCTCCTTGATCATTTAGCATTGACCCTCAAAAAGTATGGACTGCAATTTCGATCTCTCTTAGGCCTCATCAGCACTTCTAGTGATAATCGAACTTGAGTAGTTCATCGCATATTTTGAATAGTCTGTCATTATGCCACAGATGCCACTGGGCCACGAGGAAGATATGCATTTTAATCAAGTCAGGCCTCTCCTATATCATATTTTTTATGAACTTGTCGATGAGGAAAACTTATATTTTGCTATCCCAATAGACTTCGTTATTTGTATTCATTATTGGTAGGTTTTGGCATTATCATTAGTTCATGGTCTTCATTTAGTTACTTTTGTCTTGAGTTATTCTTTTTTTTTTAATAGCCTCCTCTCAAGAATGCCACAACAATGAATGAACTCCAATTCGCTTTAGAACTAGTCCAGAGACACATAAAAAAGATGAAAATCTCAGAAATGTGGTGTTGAAGTTGTGCATCTATTAGGTGTACGGAGCTAGTTAGCTGTGTGCTCGTGATCGAAGTAAATAAGCAGGAGGATAGAAAGGAAAGAGGGGCCTGGAGCAGAACAACCAACGCCGCTTGCTGGGGTTGTGTAGTTAACGTGGTAGACGCCAATGAATGAGACACTTCTGAAGCGTTGATTTGTAGTCGGCCCTGCGGTAAAGTCGTGTTGCTTCTGTGGAGCAAGTCTAGTTCTGTAGATACGGTTACAGCGAAACATTCTTTGGGACGTAAAGGCTGGCTCAATACGATCCTCCTTACGCGGGTTGTCCTATCCACTTGCATCATCCCAGATGCAGAGTGTGGGACACATGAACGACGATTGCTTGACCTCTAAGAGAGTGGCTGGCCCGGTTGACGATATGCCACTGTCATGGTGATGCGGTCAAGGTTGTAGCTGAGACGGGCATCGGGACTTTCTGTAGTTAGACCTCTGGTGTAGGGGGGAGTATAGCAAGCAATTTTGGAGTGAGATGATCAGAGTCGGTCGTCTCTGGGGAGACTAGATCATTAAAAGTCCAAAGTTATTGCTTAAATATTTACGTGGTTTGAGTGTTGGCTTCCAAAGGATCGATACTGTGGTGAGATTCGATTTGTCGGAAACAGAGTGCGAATATTCACAATTGGTCTTTGTTTCAAGTGAATATTGGTAGAAAGGTGTTTGTGTGATGTAACAAAGGCGTAGAGATAGGTTACTACATCTTAAATATTACTTCTTCGTTCATAAACAGTAGTTGCCCATATTCCTCTGCATCTATTACCTTTCTATTGGGCTGGTGTAATAGATTTAGAGAGGGCTTTACTGGTTCTTTGTCTTGCAGCCAGAGTGGTATATAGCTGCCCAGGTATAACTGACAAGCATTTCGCGAGCCTGTCGAGCACGCAGATTACCAAAATATATGCTGATAAACGAAAATATTAAAAATGGAGTGGGTTGCAATTATAGTCAGGTAGATAGGCCTCTTTTACCATAAAACTTCCTGCGTTTCTATAATCTCTAGCCATGTTGTGATCCTATCCTTATTTGATATTCTTTTTTGTATCTATTATTCATATCTAAATAGATTCTCTTATTTTGAATCATTATGGTTTTATAACTAAAGTGAGCTTTCTACAAATTTATCACTGTCTTTGTTAGACATGAAGTCTGTGGATAAGATTCCAATTAACCTAGAATTTATAGTAAAATTTTCCCACAATAGTGTAAGTATATCTCACTTTTCCATTGAGGCTCACATAGCCTTACTTCCCAAAATGTGTTCTTATCTACGGTGGACTAAAATTTCGACCTCGTTTAGGTACCATCCCCACCGCAGTTGGAATCCAATGATTGGTAGTACAGAGTATAATCTCGGCACGTTACCATCACGGCACACTGCAACGAGTCACAAGTCAGATGTAAATTTCACGCAGACTAGGCCAAATCCGTACCATATTTACAGTAGGATTGTAGATGAGCAAAACTTGTATGTTTGCCATTTTAATCGATTACGTTTCGTATATTCGTATAAAGTAGGCTCAGATACTATCAGTACATTTTAAATAATATTTCTACTCACCCAAGGTTCATAAGATGATATAGGAAACAAAGCTAGTTGAAATAAAATGGAAACGGGAGGCTTACTTATCACTGTAGTAAGATTCAACAATCAGTCCTTCATCACATGCGGCCTACAGTGACTGGAACTTTTATTCAAGATTTACTGATAGGTTTGATGACTACTTTATATAAATATATAAGATCTGTGGGTTTTCTCAATCATTTGTTTCGTTTATTTTGATTCTAAGCTCCTCTTGGAAACTTCATTTAAAGAGTTTCTTATGGTGCTTCATATAGATCAGATTATTTGCTCCTTTCAATATACTCTAATTTTTTCTAGTTTCTAAACAAATAGTCCGGGATTGTTATACCTCACGGCTCATGCCCCAATAGAAACTTAAAGCGGAAAAATTCAGCTACCAGTTTTCTATCAACTTAACCGAAATAGGATGAATAAAGCTTTATATAAGATCTACTGGTACTCTCGAAGTCTACTTAAAACGATAATAATTAATTAATTTATTGTAATAGCGAATAAGACTGCTTAATCGGCAATCCAACTACAGAAATTTGAGATAGCTTATATTTGGCCTTCTTTAAAATTCACGTCTGTAACCTGAGGACGGTCTTAACAGCTCGGCGTGGGGTGGTCATTATGAACTGCATTACTTGAGGTTAAGCCCCTCTGGGGGGTGTTGATGATACCTAGGCGAGGTCGATACTGCAATCTTTCTTAGGTAACAATACCTTTTGGGAAGCAAGGCTATGTGCAATTTAATGGAAACATGAGGCCTATTCATATCGTTGTCGAAAAATTCAACTACCACTCCTTCATCACGTTAAGCGTGAATACGACTCTTAGACAAAACCCATTGCTTAAAATGGAATTTTTTTCATCTTATAACTAAAGAGATCATAACTCAGTCATGTATTCTGTAACATAAGTGAAATCTTATTTATTAATTTATTTTCGAGACTTATTAATTTTCGAATAAGGTCTCATCCTATGTTGCATTTACCCATAATGAGATGTGTAAGTCACCCGATGCGTTTGAATTTCAGTTACATTTGCCTCCCAAAAAGCCAATATCAGAGTGAGCTGCTGTTTCGACCTCGCCTAGGTCCTGTTTCGATCCGGCATCATTTTGGCGAGTTTCACCTTGGGAACTACCTTGATGTTCAGAAGCCTACTGGATAGATAAAGATTTTAGAATATTTTGAAAATATGAAGACCAAGATTTGGTATGGTCGCAGTCTCCTTTCGATTAATAAAAGTGGGTTGACCTCGGTGTCGCAACTTGGTCTTGTTGTCAGGGGACTTATAGAGCGCACCTAGTCCGAAGTCGTCTGCTATAGTAGTTTTCATAATTCCCAGCATCAGACAGTCAACTTGGTACATTATCAAACGTTTTGCCGGCATCGTAGTTGGCATCATAAGTGAATTTTGCCATTCTCCACGCCAAGCTACGATCTTGTCAAAGAGACAAGTGAAGTCAATCCCTCGACAAACGTTCTGCCGAAAACGGTTAGACTATTACTCCGCTTTCTGTCTGGTCTATCTATCTACTCTTTACCCTCTTATTCCACTGCGCTATTTCTCAAGGCCATAAAAGCACGTACACTGCCGCTTGACTGAGCAGAGCGCCTATACTCTGATTCT